TACAGCTAGAATTCTTGCTTTTTGATCAGTGGAGATAAAATGAATTTCTTTTCTCCATGTTAAGTAATCAGGTTCTGATTTTCCCTTTTCTTTCTCTCTGATAGTGTTTAATGCTCTAATGCTTTCTAAGCATGAGGCATTTTCCTGAGCTCTGAAGCCTAGTATCCTCAAAGCCCCGTTCAGGGAAACCTCAGTTCCTTGTCAGTCAAGGCCTGTCACTGGCTTTGCCTTGGCCTTCTCTGGGAGAATGTCTGCTCCTTAAGTTGATGGTATACATACTATGATCTTGGTGAAACAGAGTGAAGACAGCCTATGCAACTTAGGAAGATCATCAAGCAATCTAGGATAAGCATTACGGGAATCCTAGAAGGAGCAAAGAAAGAAAAGGAAGAGAAAGCTTATTTAAATAAATAATGACAGAAACTTCCAAAATCTGTAAAGGGAAATGAATGTCCAGATCCATGAGTCCCAAAGAGCCACAAATAGACTAAATATAATGAGATTTCACCAAGATACATTATAATCAAATTCTCAAAACTTAAAGAAGCAATTTTGAAAGCAGCAGGAGAAAAGCAACTTGTCACACATAGAAAACCCATAAGACTGTCAATAGGTTTCTCCGCATAGCCCTTGAAGGCCAGGAGGGAGTGGGATGATATATTCAGAGTGTTGAAAGAAAACAACCAACCAAGAATATTATACTAGGCAAGGCTCTCCTATAGAAATGGAGAGAGAAAGACTTTCCCAGACAAAAGCTCTGGCAGTTCATCACCACTAGGCCACCTTACAAGATCTGCTAGAAGGAGTTATTCCAGTTGAAATGAAAGGACGCTAACATTATGAAAACATATAAAAGTAGAAAACTCGCTGTAAAAGTAAAAATGTAGTCAAATTCAGAATAATACTACAGTGGTGGTGTGTAAATCACTTTTAACTCTAGTATAAAAGTTAAAAGACAAAGGTATTAAAAATAATTGTAGCTACAATAATTTGTAAGTGCATACACAATACATAAAAGATGTAAATTGTGATATCAGTAACATAAAATATGTTGAGGTGGGGAGAAATTGAAGTGTAGGATTTCTGTAGGCAGCTAACGTTTTATTACTGGAGTGCAGTGGTGTAATCTCAGCTCACTGCAACCTCTGCCTCCTGGGTTCAAGCAGTTCCCCTGCCTCAGCCTCCCAAGTAGCTGGGACTACAGGCACATGCCACCACGCCCAGCTAATTTTTTGTATTTTAGTAGAGACGGGGTTTCACCATGTTGGCCAGGATGGTCTCGATCTCCTGACCACATATCTGCCCGCCTCGGCCTCCCAAAGTGCTGAGATTACAGGCAAGAGCCACAGCGCCTGGCCTAAAATGTTTTATACAAGCATCATAGTGACCACAAAACAAAAACCTGTAGTAGAGTTACAAAATGTAAAGAGAAAGGAATGAAAGCATACCATTACAAAAATCATCAGATCAGAAAGGAAGATAGTAAGGGAGTAAGAAAACAATAAAGAAACTACAAACAGCCAGAAAGCAATTTTTTAAATGGCAGTAGTCTTTATCTATCAATAATTACTTTAATGTAAATGAATTAAATTCTGCAATCAAAAGACAGAAGTGTCTGAATGGATATTAAAAAAAATCTATGTGCTGCCTGCAGGAGACTCAGCTTTAAGGATATACATAGGCTGAAAGTCAAGGCATGGGAAAAGATATTCCATGCAAATGGTAACCAAATGAAGAGCAAAAAAGATACTTATATCAGACAAAACAGACTTTAAGTCAACAACTTCATAAGAGTCACTATATAGTGAGAAAGAGATAAATTCATCAAGAGGATATAACAATTATAAATGTATATGCACCCAACATCAGAGTACCTAAATATTTTTTAACATAACTCAAGAGAGAAATAGCAATACGTAATAGCAGGGTACTTCAGTACCCCATTTTCATCAATGAATAGATGACCCGGACAGAAGACGAATAAGGAAACACTGCACCTGAACAACACTCTAGAGCAAATGGACCTAGCAGACATATAGAACACTCCTTCCACCAGCAGCTGAATGCACATTTACATGTACACAGAACATTCTCTAGGCTAGATCATATGTTAGGCCACAAAACAAGTTTTAACAAATTTAAGAAGATTAAAATATCAAGTATCTTTTCTGACCACAATAGTATGAACTAGAAATCAGTAACAGGAGGAAAATTGGAAAATTCACAAATATGCAGAAATTAAATACACAGCTGAACAACCAGTGGGGTCAAAGAAGATATCAAAAGGGAAATCAGAAAATTCCTCGAGACAAATGAAAATGGAAACAACATACCAACACTTATGGGATGCAGCAAAAGCAGTACTAGAGGGAAGTTTATAAAGAAAATGTGGTGTATATCTATATGTACACAATGGAATACTATTTAGCCTTAAAAAAGAAGGATTTCATGTCATTTGCAACAACATGGATGAACCTGGAGTACATTACACTAAGTGAAATAAGCCAGGTACAGAAAAACAAATATAGGCCAGGCATGGTAGATCACGTCTCTACTGCCAGCACTTTGGGAGGCTGAGGCAGGAAGATTTCTTGAGCCTGGGAGTTCAAGACCAGCCTTGGCAACATATCAAGACCCCATCTCTACAAAATTTTAAAAATTAGCTGGGCATGGTGGCATGGGCCTGTAGTCTCAGATACTCAGGAGGCTGAGGTGGGAGGATCCCTTGGGCCTGGGAGATCAAGGCTGCAGTGAGCCTTGACCACTGCACTCAGCCACTGCCCTCCAACCTGGGCAACAGAACAAGACCGTGTCTCAAAACAAACCAGCCAACAAAAAAAACTAACAAAAAAAGAAGAATATGCATGACCTCACTTATTTGTGAAATCTGAAAAACTTGAACTCAGAGAAGTAGAGCATATAATAATGGTGGTTACCAGGGGTATAGTAGGTAACTATAGTGGGAGAAATGGGGAGTTGCTGGCCAAAGAGTACAAAGTTTCACTTAGGAAAGATGAGTAAGTTCTAGAGAGTTAATGTACAGCTCTAATGTATAGTTAGTAATAATACATTGTATACTTGAAATTTGCAAGAAGAATAGATCTTAAATATTCTCACCACCAAAACAAAAATAATGTGAGGTGATTGGATATACTAGCTTGACTGTCGCAATAATTTTATAATGTATTCATATATCAAAACATCACATCATAGACTATAAATTATGTAATTTTTGTTATATGTCAGTAAAGCTGGGTGGGGGAGGGGAGGGTGGGAAGAAGCTGTCTCAATGTGATGGCCGAGGTGTCCTATATATCCTGAGCTCATATTATTGCCTTTCAAATGTAAAAGCTGTAGGTGATGGGATGTCCCAAAGGTTTTAAAATCAGGAATGTCAAGATCAGATTTTGCTTTAGGAGGGCAATTTGAGGCAACTTAAAGAGTGGATTGCAGGAGATAGAACTTGGAAGTGAGAACACCGTCGCACAAGTGCAGTGAGAGAGGAGTAGCCTGAGCGGAACCAGTGGCAAGGGCCTGGGCTGCGGAGACCATTGGAGAGAGGGATGGGAGCCACACTGGGCTATCACCGGGAATGGAGAGCTAGAGAGGAGAAAGAACTGGCAGAGGGGGCCAGCGGAGAGAAAGGTCCGAAGAAAACCTAGCCAAAAAGAGAAGGCTGGAGCCCTGGGCCATCTGGCTTGTGGAATGAGGGGCCCGCAGGCTTCCTGTGGCTGAACCCTGGTGGCAGAGAGGTGGGCAGGTCTTCTTTCTGCCTGCAGAAGGCTTCTCAAATGCCTAACAAAGTCACGGATTTCACGCAGCCCAGCTCAGCCAAGAGAGACACAGATATCAGAGTGTTCTAGAAACAAAGCAGGGCCCCAGGGGGAAACTGCGAGGCCTAGCAGGGCAGGGAAGCCGAACACAGGGAAGAATGCCTTCTCCTTTCTCCAGAGGGAAGCTCAACGGGCCTGGGGGAGGTCCAAGGGGCACTGGCCTGTTGGGACATTTACAGCCAGGCCTGGGGTTGGTTTTATCCTTAAGCATTGTTTTATCCAGGGGCAGGCTTTTTCCCGGAAAATTTCCCCTCTGCCTCACTTTGCTCTTCCCCAGGAGTGGGCTGGGAGCCCCCTCTGCTCTGAAGCCATGCCGGGGGTCCACTCTGTGGGTGTTCGGCAGTAGCTTCTGGGGGACTGGCCAGGCGCCTCCCTGGGGCTGCCTAGGGAGAAGAGTTGTTTCTGGGGTGACGTAGAGCCTGTGTGCCAGGGCACTGGCCAGCAAGGGTAAGAACCCGGCGGGCTCCCCCAGCCTAACAGGGAGCCGCCTCTGTCACGTGCCTGCGAGGTGGGACACAAGCTGGCTTACAAGTTGGTTCGACATAGCCAAATCCGCGTGCCACATTTCCACGCTATAGAGTGCTGGTCTTCATGATTGTGCCCCTTGACATGACACAATAGGAATAAAAGCCGGGAGGCCAAGGAAAGGCCCTCTTTGGGGGTGGGGGCGCGGCGGCATGTGACCCTCGCCGCTGTGGGGAAGACCCGCCTTCAGGACGGAGCGCCAGCGGTGCAGAGGCCGCCTGGGACTGCCCGGAGGCCGGTGG